AAGCAATTCCGAGTCGTCCTCCCCCACCATGACAGCGACGGGGAAGCTACTGGACATTGATTTCTGTTACCCCGCCAGAGCTGCAGCTTCAGGATAAATAAGACCCTCTTTACTCACGTCACTTTACGTGCCTCCTCTGCGATACATCTCTGCTCCTCTTCCTGCAAGCAACATCGTGAAGAAACGCATCTCTTGTTACAATGGCTTCCACTCCCTACACAGTCCGATGGGGCATCTTAGCCACCGGTGGCATCGCCGAGCGTGAGCTACACCACTTCTCTACCAACATACAGCCAACTTGCTAACTCTCCGCGACAGACTTTTGCAAGGATCTCCTCACTGATCCTGCCATTCGAGATGTAACCGACGTGCGCCACGAGATTGTTGCTGTCTCCTCGTCCTCTTCTGCTGCTCGAGCCGGCGAGTTCATCAAGAAGATTGACGGTCCCTCCTCCGCTGCCCTCTACGGCTCATACGCTGAGCTCGTCGCCGACCCCAATGTCGACATCATCTACGTTGCTACACCGCACAGCCACCACTTCCAGAATGCCATGCTTGCCATCCAGGCTGGCAAGAATGTTCTCTGCGAGAAGGCCCTCACTGTGACTGCTTCCCAGACCAAGAAGCTTGTCGAGGCCGCCAAGGCCAAGAACGTTTTCTTCATGGAGGCTGTCTGGACACGATACTTCCCCCTCAGCATCAAGGTGCGAGAGTTGATTCAGTCGGGCGCCATTGGCACCGTCTACAGAACCTTTGGTAAGCCAGCTTTACCTTGGCCACTCTTAGCCACGACTCGGTTGGACATAACTAACTAATACTTTCAGCCGATCTCTCCTTCGGCAAAGACATCGGTAACGGCAAGGTCGACTTTGACGACTCTCACCGAATGGTCAACCCTGACCTTGCCGGCGGTGCCCTGCTCGATCTCGGCATCTACTCCTTGACCTGGGTCTTCCAGTCTCTGTACCACGTCCAGCCCGAGGCCGAAAAGGAGGCCCCCAACGTTGTGGCCGCCATCAACAAGTACCACACCGGTGCGGACGAGACGACAAGCATCATCTGCCAGTTCCCCAAGCACAAGACCATGGGCATCGCCACCACAAGTCTGCGCATAGGCACCGACCTCGACGGCAACTACACCGGCGGTCCCGCCATCCGCATTCAGGGCACCAAGGGCGAGATTCAGGTGACGGGTCCTGCGTACCGGCCGACAGAGTACAAGGTGATCAAGAAAGATGGCAACGGCAAGATTGAGGTGGTTGCCTGCCCGATTCCCCAGGACCCCAAGCGGGACAACTGGGGACACGGCATGTTCTGGGAAGCCGACGAGTGCGCCCGATGCCTACGCGACGGCAAGAAGGAGAGCCCCTCGATTCCTTGGTCCGAGAGCATCGTCATCATGGAGACTATGGAGAGCGCTCTCAAGCAGGGCGGCGTGACGTATCCCGAGTTGATCTCCACTGACGTCTTTGACGCCAACAGCCCCCTCAACAAGGGCAGGAGTTAGAGGAAGGCTATGAGGTCCACGCTTTAATGAAGAAACGTAAAAAGGTTAGAGTGGGAATATGCTGGGGCATTAGGTAGTGAGCCTGTAATGAGCGAGGCATTGAATATTACCTTGGTTATCATCATGAATAAGACAAGCACCTTGCACAATATGCACAGGCTAAGCAGCCCGGGGTTGGGCTATGCCGGCGCTACAAGCGGATGACCGAGATGGATGGTTCATGTCAGATATCCATGGCTAGGTTGACAGGGCTAAGGAAGAAGGGCGCTTCGAGAACAACAGCGACAGGGCAGGCATCTGACCATGATGCGTTCATCAAAGCGCCCTCCTTCCTAGCTCGCAAAAAAAAAAAGAAGGCTGGCCCGGTGTTGTGTTGTTGATTCATTACTCGTTTCAAGCCTGTGCGTAGATTCCCACGTTGCATTGACCCTGTCTCTTCAGGCGCAAGGATGGCTCAAGGACCGCGTGGCTCCCTCGTGGCCCGGACCGGGGAACCATTCCGCATGTGTTCTCGAGTCAGCCAGAGACGGTTCGGTTCGCTTGAAGGAAGAGAGAGAGTCGAGGCTCCAGTCTCAGCCCGGCGGATCGGAGATGACGTGCATCTCTTGCGAGCGGGAGCACCCATGCCCACATCACATCCTCGCTCGGGCCTCAAGAGCAGGCCTCAAATGTCCAAGAAGGGTTTCATCGTGTGTACGAGCGCGATGGAGGGGGGCGGGCGTAGAAGCACGGGAGAAGAGTTCCATCATCCATGGTTCATTTTGATGGACGGCTGGCGGAGTGGCTGATGATCCCCGTGCTTTTCTCCCCTTCCTGCGAATGAGGTGACATGATGTCAAATGGTGATGTGATGAGCAAAAAAGAGAGACAGAGAGATGAGATTGTGGAATGGATATTAATATCGCCCCCCTCCCCTGCCTAACGTTCTCCCCCCTTGCTTTGACTTTGAGAATCATCATGTCCCGAGCCAGGGACCCTGAAAAAGGCAAGTGATGCCTGTGCCTGAGAGCGGAGGCGGATCCGAGGTGTTCGTGACTGGGGGGCCTCGTGAAAAAAGGGGACCATCCATCAACAGGGCAGGGGGTGAACAGACGTTGTTGTTGTAACTCAACTGTCTCTTGTTCATCTCATCACAGCAACAGAGTAAAAAGAACCTTGACCATGTCGACTTCCATCGTTCAACTCGACAACCAACCACCAAGTTACAATAACCACCCCTCTCGCACGGTTCATATAGAGACCTCAACCGTCGAGACTTCTAGAATCATGAAACTATGATAATGTCCTTGTCGCAGAGTCGGTCCATCACGGGCAGGGCCAGATCTTCAACGGAATGCATGTTCCTTCAGCCACGCGGAGCCGCCCCAGACCATTTACTCCACTAATCGGCGGGCCACAACTCACACCTCCGCTAAGGAAAAAAAACACCACCACGCCTGTAAGTTGCAAGAAATTAAACCCCATCTCACCAACACAACACAACCAACAACCATATCAAACTCAAGCCGTTCCTCCAGCTTCCACACGCCCCCCCCCCCTCTTCAGGCTTCTGATAAACAAGGGTCCCTGTTGAAGATATCCCCCAGGAATTATGGCGAGTGGTTCGTCGGCGACGCCGGCTGGCGATCAAGGGAACGGGCCACTCGAGCAACCCAACCCTCAGCATCAACAAGGCGCCCAACCTCAGGAACCATCCGCTACAGAGGTATTCTCACCCTCTGAGGCTGCAGAGGCCCCGGAAACTTACGAGGCTACCCACGTGCACGCCGTCTACGAGGCCATCGCGCCGCACTTCTCAGCTACCCGCCACAAGCCCTGGCCTCGTGTCGCCAGCTTCCTCCAAGACCAGTCGCCCGGCAGCATCGGCCTTGACGTCGGCTGTGGCAACGGCAAGTACCTGCGCGTCAACCCGGCCGTGCACCTGCTAGGCTCCGACCGGAGCCCTGCACTCGTCAAGCTTGCCCGGACCGAGCTACGGCGGCCTCGTGCTGATGGCAAGGACGACGACCCAAGGGTCTCGGATGTCGACGTTGCCGTTGCTGATGGCTTCGCTCTCCCCTACCGGCGAGCCGCCGCCGACTTTGTCATCTGCATCGCTGTAGTGCACCACATGTCCACCCGCGCCCGTCGGCAAGAGGCCGTCGCCGCTCTGCTGGACTGCGTTACCCCCAAGGCCGGCCGCGTGCTCGTCTATGTGTGGGCGCTGGAGCAGGCGTCGAGCCGCCGCGGGTGGGACACGGGCAGCGACCAGGACAGGCTCGTCTCGTGGGTGATGCGCAAGCCAAAGGGTGAGGAGCCGGGCGGCACGTACCAGCGCTACTACCACCTGTACCGCGAGGGTGAGCTCGAGGAGGACGTCGTGGCGGCTGGGGGCAAGGTTGAGGAGAGCGGCTACGAGAGGGACAACTGGTGGGTGGTATGTAGTCGGCCGGCGGCCTGAGACGGCAGAGGAGGTGCTACAATGGGAATCGAGATCGAGTCGGAGCATCCATCCATTACAAGGGTTGGCTCGTAGGCGTTTGATATTCGGATACCTACTCACCGACTTGAAGCCTATTCTTCTCCCCCGAGGCGAGCTCACTCCGCTCCCGCAAACGGATGCTTGCCATACACAACGCATAAAGTAGAAACTGTAACTCGCCGTGACTCGACCATTCTCATCCAAGAGTTTTCTTAAAAAGGTAATACGTAACATGAGTAACTGTACAACACTAAGATATCCACTAGTCTCCCTCTATCCTCGACATAATCTATCAAGACAATAAAAACAACATGCTCTTCCCCTCCTTCTTGGTCAGAGCCTCTCTTTCAACTCAAGACAGATGCTGTGCTGTGCAACAAATAAAAAAGACAACCTTGCATTTTCAACTCCTTTTTTCCAAAGGCCACCCCCTGGCCGAGTCCCCCTGGCCCCAGATGCTTTCCAACCAACAATCCATCCATCCTTCGCTTCCTCTCGAGACGCCTCTGACCCATGCTGAAGAAATGACAAAAACAAAGAATAGAATAAAACAAGGCCGTAGCTAGTAAAAAAGACAAGTCAAAGAATCGAAAACTTTAGAGTCCGACGTTTTTTTCGGGATTTTTCATCAAATCAAGCCATCCTTCCCTTATTCCATCTTATCCCATCCCGTCGTCGGTTGATACCATCCATCTGTAGATATGCTGTTGTGTAAGTCGAATGAATATTCATCTTTATGCCCAAGCCCACTCATTCTTTCCGGTCAACCGGATCCAATAAAAAGAAATCAAGAAACAACACTCCCGGAAGGCAGAGACGAGATCCCCTCTCATGTCGTTCCATGCCGATGCAGCCCATGCAGTCCCTCTTGTCCATACCATCGTAGTGAAACCCATCGTCGCTCGCAGTGACCAAAACACCATCCTTTGCAAAATCAACCCGCAAAGGAAATGCCGATAAAGACCAAGAATTCCAACTCCAGAGTTCGCCCGCTCGTCCCATTGTCAGTCAACATGAACAGAGTAGACTGTCTTATGCCATGCGTCGTCGGTGGTTCGCCTCGTGTTGAAGTCGGTCTGGGCTTGAAGCCCGTCGCTTTGATCCAGCAGATTCCATCGAGTAGCTGGCGAGGCTGGAAAAGAGGGGTCCTTGGCTCGCTGCCGCGATGGATCCAACATTGGGGGCTCCGGCGGGAGTGCTGTATGGGCTGACACCAGTAGTGAGTTCAGCAACACCGGGAAGCATACCCGCACTCCTAGGTGGTGGTTGGTTCTGGATCGGGGCCAGCCCTGGTCCTGGCACGTAGTGAACTTCCTTGGGGTGGTCCGGGCCCATGGCCATTGGAGGAGGAGGCGGCGGAGGGATAGATTCTCGGCGGACAATGGTTCGGCTGCTGGCAACTGGCATCGGGGGTGCTCTGCTGTACATTGCTCGAGGCGAAGGAGCCCCGAGATCACGAGGCATGCTGCCCTGCGACGAGGAGTGGACGTGGCTGCGTGAGGGAGAGCTTCGGTGGCTGTTGTTGCTGTCGACGTTGACGGCGGCTAGGGAGAAGGGGATAACACCTGCTCGTCGAGCCATGTCCGCTTCACCGAGTTGCCAGTGCATGGCCTCGGCTGCTCGCCAGGGAACTGCCATCTCTTCCGCAACCTTGGCCCACATTTCTGGCTTGAATCTGGCTTCATGTTAGCTCTGCCTTGGAACGCGAGGGCCACTCGATGTAGGCTCGCTCCATCCAGTGGTCCGGTGTGGCATGCTTACCTCTCATACAACCGGGCAAGCTTGTTCTTGCGCTCTTCGTCCCATTCGCTTCGTCTCTCGAGGTAGTTCTGGTAGTGTAGGCGGCAGCTTATGGCACTCCGGCCTGGCAGACGCTTGGAGATGTCCTCCCACTTCATGCCACTCCCTCGAAGCTCGATTATGAGTGCATCTTCCTCTGGCGACCACTTGCTCTGCTTCTTGACGGGTTGCTGATCCGTGGCGTGCGCAGGCATGCTTCGCCTGCCAGCGGGCATCTGTGTTGGAGCTACAGGCGGCGGCGCAACAGGCGCAGCGTGCCGGGGCGGGGTGGTTGAGGCCTTGATCGAAGGTGGTTGAGCAACTTGCTGGATTTGGCGAGGCGGAGAGACAGAAGACTCATGCGAGTCCGGGGCCTTGAGGAGAGACACGATATCCACCGTGGCAGTTGGAAAATCCAATCTGCCCACGTGGGGACCGTTGGAATAGGATCGCGGAGTGCGTCCCAGAGAGAGACGGTCCTCCACACCCGCGATGGACGGCAACTCTGCCCGCAGGAGGCAGAGCGGAGACTCGCTCTTGAGTTGGGCCAGCTCGGCGACTTTCCTGGGTTTGTCTAAGTTATGCTGTTGCGGCGGCTCCGAAAAGCCTGGCGTTGTTGTTGGGGGGAGCACCGTTATCAAGGCTTGACGGAACTCCAAGTCTGTTGTCGTTACAATTCAACCCAAAGGAGGATGGTCGTGAAGGTCGGACACGCTAGGAGCTCCGAAGCACTCCGGTAATAAAGGGTTCCTGGATTAGATGTGTCAAGGTGAAAGCCGCGTAGTAATGAGTGCTGCGTAGTGGTGGGCAGCTGGGTTAGGTGTCGGCACAGTTGGGCTCGGTCAGGTACCAGTTGCCTCCAGAAGATGTGAAAAGGAGAAGAACTGTCTCGGGAGGCCGCAGCGATGGCTGTTCAGATCAAGAAGCGTGGCTCGAGGCCTTGACGAAGTGAGAGCCCTGTGATTGGTGATGCCCAGGGTGCGTTGAACCAATGGACGGGAACAGGATGATATGGTGAGGCAGAGCAAATCGCGGAGCGCCAATCGAGGTGAGCGAAGCCAAGGCAAGGCTTATTGTCCTGTAGGCAGCTATCTGTCGACCCAGGAGGCACCAGACTGGTTCGATATTGTGGCAGAGGATATTCAGGAGGGCAAGGGAAGATCGTCGGGGGTAGTCTTGTCTTGAAGAGAAAGAGGAAACGTCGGTCAGACGTTCCGTAGAGCCCTACTAGTATGACCTCGAGGAGCTGCTATATGCGCAGAAGAAAAAGGACCCACGCTGGGATTGCCTCGCTTCTCTTGGTCTTGGCCGGAGTCGAGACACGATGAGCCAGGACTAGATGGGGAGCTAGATGGAGCTAGGGGGTGCACTTGAGGGGCAAAGGAAAAAGAAATAAGTTCACCCGGGAGAACTGGTTTTAGATGGAAGTCCAACAAGTTCTTGGGTCGAAAGGAGGCGGCGGCAGCGACTTAACGGTGTGGGGAGACGACGATGCAGAGAGCAAGCCAGGCCAGGGTCTGATTACATCCAATACCCCCGGAAAGCGCTGTGACAAGCCCAGATATGGTGTCTTAGCAAGAGGCCCGGGCTATAATGTCAGGAAACAACAAGAGAGCAGCACCGCACCAGCTGTCGAGAGCGAACGGCATGGTCAATGAGCAAGCATGACAGGGGAGGGGTGTGTGTTTTGGGGGCCGGGGATGGCAACAGAGAGGCGTGTCAGGAGTGACAATAGGTAGGATGAAGAAGTGGGTGGAGGTGGAGTCGATTGTTTGGCAATAAGGCAGAGGGCATCGACAGGCCAGGCCGGGGATAGATGGATGGAGACTCTGGAGAGGGCCCTGCTGGCCATCCATCCACTGATTGCCTAGCATGGATCTCCCGCTGAGCGAGAGTGAAGCAGGTGAAAAATTTCCCGTGATAGCAAAGGATGCGTGAGGATGAGTAGAAGAAAAAGAAACGAAACGCTCAAAAGCGATGCGACACGGCGACCACCGTGAATGAATGCCCAATGCCTTGGCCCTGCTCCAAGAGAGGTTATCCCGACTTGTCCGAGTCTCGCCTTTGTGAGTCTCGGCCAGATTCCCGATGATCTTTGTTCGCCCCAAACACCTCAGCTTATCGACCAACCGCCATGCGACTATGGCCTCAGCATCGCCCAAGGCCCAAGGCACAGGTCCAAAAACTCCCCGCCGGGAGACAACTAGTTTGGCACCTGTCAATACCATGGCAGCAACCAACAACCATGTCCGACTTTTTTGTGTGTGAGCATGTACTGTAGGCAGGTACTGCTGTGCGACGGCGTACACCGCAACGCTTTGTACCTCATCGCCTCGTACAGCCGCGGTCTTGCCCTGCCTTGCTTGGCCTTGAGGGGGCGTTGGCGTCTATCGTGGTCTTGGAGACTAGGGTCGAGGCCACCGCACACCCCCCCTGTTCAGGTTCAATACCAACTCATCATGGACGCCCTCTGGTCTAGGTTGAGCGATGCGATCTTCGCATGGGGGACCATCTGCTTCCCGGCTCCGGTTTTTTTCTTCATCCTCGCCTTTTGACAGCTGGGGCAGCGAGGACAGGTTCTAAAGGGTTGAGGGGCTCTGCAGGCAGGAATCCAGAGAGAGCTTGCGCGCGTGGGATGTGGAGGACCTGCAGGCCTCGAGCACCTCGAGGCGTCGAGGCGAGGGAGACAATGGGCTGGAATGAATGGGCGTCGTTCAAGGTCGCTCGCCGCCGGTTCCCAGCCAGCATCCAATCTCAAGCATCCCGCGTTGAGGCAATGCCACGAAGCATTGCATAAAGACTCGTCAATACGGGCTTGACCAGGCGATCCATCCTCCGGGCATGGCGAAGCTGGCTCGCCGCCGTCAGCCTGACCGACTTGCGAACTGGCTGCTCTACGTAGTAGTTCGATGTCGTGAGGCCTTCCGTGTATTGAGCCACTTGAGGCGGGAACGTCTCAGCTTTCAAGGCTCGAATCGTATCAGTCCTTGGCTCAGACCCACGGCTCGCGACTCATCCTTATTTCAGGGACGTCTAGGCTGGGATGTAAGAGGGAAGTATACGCGCCTTACGCCCCCAGTCACCATTGATGCTCGCATCTCGGGCTCCCGGCAAGGTCAAGGTGGGAGCTGGCTGAGAGAGCGACCGCGCCAAATAATAGCGCACATGCGACTTGTTGATTGTGACTTGGAGACCGTTGGATTGGGGCTGCTCCATTCCGGCACGCTCCAGCGCGACGACAGCCGAGGGGCGTTCGCACGAACTGCCTAGTTCGAGCCAGGTTGCTAAGTCAGTCACGACGCGCTGTAAAACAACTGGTGCCAGGATCACCCTCGTCGGACCTGAGGCTTGGCTCGAGTTCGCCGCCAGAGGTTGGTCGATACCTGAGCTGGAGCTCGCAACAGCGGACAAGAACCCCAGGCGGCGGGGAACGGCGCTGCCATTGGGCATCTCCACCTCGAACTGGCGAGCCCTGGTCCCAAAGCACCACGCCCAACGAGATGCGGAGGTGCGATTCTGCAACAGCGTGGTGTGAGGCGAAGGGGAACAAGAGGCTTAACCCCAATCTCTCGTACAGGTGCGCTAGCAGGGCCAGGAACGCCCCGGGAGACGAGATCACCCGGCGGCAAGCGTGGAGAAGGGATGTCATGATGTGCAGTGGAGAAGATTTGGCTGCTGGCTGCTGCTGGCTGCTGCTGGCTTGCGCGTTGTGAAGAGCAGAGACGATGGTCACTCTAGACGGGACAAGGCTGGGTACGCTAGGCCAGGGTCTCTCATTCGCATTCTTTGACATGATAGATTTGACGAGAAGTCTAATCGTGATATCGATTTGGAGACAGAGCAGGGATAGCATGTAGGCCAGGGCCGACGACTGCATCATCGCATTGATCATCCCGGCGAGATGCCAGCCTAGCCCAGCCCAGCCAGGCCGCCAGGCACAGGCGCCAACAATCGATCAGCGTCAGCGTCAGCGTCAGTCAGCGTCAGCGCGCGGTGATCGATGGGGTGGGATCGTCCGCGGGGAGCTGGCCTGCTGGGTAGGTAGGTGCTGGGAAGGATGGACAGCGTTGAGTTGAGTCGGGATGAGCAAATGGGTTGGCTGTGACCGTTGGGCTCGGCCGGATGTGCTTCCGTACCTACCTTCCCTGAACAACAGCACCTCTTACACGAAAACCACCTGCCTCATGCTCATGCTGGGCTCTCATGATGGAAGGCACGAGCAGATGCCCAAGGCAACCTTGCCCTTCCATTCAACTCCATACATGACCACGTTATTCCACGCAAGACTCTAGAACGAATTGGACAGGACCAACTCGCGCAGGCTGCATCCATCTCCATCGAATGTGACGAGTTCCCACTTGAAACCGCTCACGAACCCTCAAGAAATTGCGGCGCACAACGGCGGCGGCGGCGGTTGGCAGAGGCGCAAGCTCAGAATCCGTTCGTGAGTGGCTTAACCCGCTGGCATCTGCCAAACCCCTTGTAACTGGCACTAACACCACTGACATTGGGCCAGCCATGATTGACAAAACACAATTGACATCGGATTCGGCATGGAGCACCACACCTTGTTCTTCATCACCACCTGGAGCCTTGCCCAACTTGGATAACGGCGCGAGCTTAGAGCACGAGCCTAACGTCCGTCTGTGCGCTGCCCGGCCCCAGACACACTCGACACACTCACAGATCACTTGCACATAGGTACACGCCTCTTGCACCTTTGATGTTCTGTTCGGTTGGGGCTTTGTGTCTTGAGGTCGATGGCGGCCTCGACGTCCTCACTTTGGGCGCTTGAACCTTGGAGCCAACACAAAAAGGCCCGGCCCGAGCTGTCGACATGGGCAGCCGAAACAACCAGCCGTGCCCATCAAGCGGAGCTCACCAGCTTGAGCCAGCCAGCCCCTCGCGGCTATAGAATTGGAAACAAGCACGCTATCTAAGCCGAGAATCCTGAATAGTTAGGTCAAGAGGGTGCGTTACTCCACGAGAAGCAAGGCTCTTTGCTTGATGTCAAAAATTCTGCGGGCTTGCCTTCACGATGCTCCGCTCCGTGTTGCTCCACGGCTATTCGTTTGCTCCACGCCGCTTCCGCTATTCGTTGGCTTGCCGGGAATACCCTGGGGCGGTGCTTGGTTCCGCTGATGAACTGGCGGTCAGAGAACTGATTCATCAGAGAATGAAGGCCTTGCGGCAGATGGATAGGCAAACAGCAAAA